TCATCTGACAAATAATTATTAGATTCCAAAACAGTTCTTAGCACCTGCCAGGAGTTTCAAGAGAAAAGGCATATATGTATATGATAAAGACCCACTTTCTAGTCTAGTACAGTGACACCACGTGATAAGCAGTCCAATAAAGCTGGATAAAGAAGCAGGCAAGAGATTTAGAAGCAAGGCCCAGGGAGGCAACATTAGGCACAGGCATGTGGGAACATGACCCAAGGGAGGCCCGGAATTGAGAACAGGTTTCAACAGCTGTCTCCACTTATCAGACTGGCAAATGTTAAAGACTGACAACACCAGGTGTTGCTAGGGTGTGCAAAGCAGACTCCCACATATTGCTGGAATGGTGTAAATTTGCACCAACCTATCTGTGGGGCGATCTCACAAAATGTAGCAACATTTAAAGCGTATATATGTATAACTCGGCAATTACAGACCAGACATTCATCTTGTGGGAATAACTGGGCAAATGAAAACTGACATTGGTACCACTGTAGCCTATTCATTGTGTCACTGCTTGGAGAGGGTAAAATTGTAATCACTTGGCCATGAACTTGTCCCTGAACCAATCACAATGGCCAGAAGGATCGGATCTTCTGACTGGTCAGGCCTCAGTCACACATCTCTCCTCTGTTGCCAGGGGATAGAGGAAGACTGTGATTGACAGTTGAGCCATGTGGATTAGGATAAGAGAAAAGACAATTCCCTAAAGGAAAAAAAAAGGAAGAACATTGTTACTAGGGGACTGAAAATGGGAAAGCCAAACAAAATCTGTAATTAGGGCCGGGTGCAGTGGCTCACGCCTATAATCCCAGCACTTTGGGAGGCTGAGGCAGGTGGAGCACTTGAGGTCAGGAATTTGAGACCAGCCTGACAACAAGGTGAAACCCCATCTATACTAAAAATACAAAAATTAGCCGGGAGTGGTGACATGTGCCTATAATCCCAGCTACTCAGGAGGCTGAGACAGGAGAATCGCTTGAATCCAGAAGGCGGAGGCTGCAGTGAGCTGAGATGGTGCCACTGTACTTTAGCCTGGGTGACAGAGCAAGACTCTGTCTCAGAAAAACAAAAACAAAAACAAACAAAACAAAACAAAAAACCCTGTAACTACCCCAGTCTACCATAGCAGGAGTCACTGGTGCAGAGGGAGAACTGCTTCAGGCAGACGGAAGAGATTAGTTTTTACAGAGCCTTTACAGTCTGTGATGAAACCACCACCAGAGAGGAGGAGGAGGAGGAGGAGGAGGAGAAGGCCACCCCTGACGAAGGAGACCCAGACTTGTAAATCCACCTCTATGAATAATTGAATAATTTTAAAGACATGGTTGAGGCTGTGAGGTAGTTGTAAGAAAAATATAAGCAAACAAGACAAATGAGGATACTATGGGCAGAGCCAGGAAAGGTCCCTGACCATGCATGGGCCCGCGTGGTGTCCACACATGTCAGTGAGACATTGGCTAGCACCGTGGGTACCACTTGTAGCCAAGCGAACTTGATCAAATGACTTGACCACTTAAGACTTCAGTTTCTTTATCTCTAAGACTGAGAGAAGAAACCGATGTATGGGCTGACGGTGAGAATGTCTTGAGCCTGTGCAGGTAAAAACACCTGTGTGCCAGACATTGTGTGCAGAACCTCAGCAAGGGGAAGGGCAGGCCAGAAACAACCCTCCAATTTAAACAGAAGAGAAAAAAGTAAACAGAAGAGATGAAGGATGGTGCCTCCAGGAAGTCTGAAACCTAGGGGTTTATTCTAGGGCAAACGGAGATCTCAAATTTAAGTTGGTGGTCATAATGAGGGTTACGACAGCACTTTCAATTAGGAACTATGTTGAAAAACTGGAACTTGCCCCCCTCCCACAAGTCCTTAACTGTGTATAAGTGGAACGACTGTTTACTTGTACATTTTTATTCTCATGGCTCATTCTCACTGGCTATTGAAACACTTCAGAACAGAAACTCCTTAAACGCCCCAAGACCAGGTTAGGGCACCCCGCCACCACCACCCTATTCCTCCATTTCGCCCTGTGCCAAGAGCACCACAGGCCTGCTCCTGCCTCAAGTGTCCTTCCCTGGGTCCAACAGGGGACAACGTGTACCGTGGTTGCCTTGAATTTCCTCACCTCAAATTCAGATCGAGTGACATTTGCACCATCAAGGTGGCAAGCACGCGTTGCTCTGTCTGGGAGGCAAGGGGAGATCGATACCATGAGAAGGTATGAGCGCAGAGAGAGCACGAGGTGGTCCCACTGCTCCTGACCCCCACGAGGTCCAGTCTGTGTGAAAAACAGCATTGACCCAGAAACACAAAGGCATCCCTGTTTGTGTGGTATTGTGCAAGCCTCTGGCCTCTCCAAGCCTGTTTCTTTATCCTTAAAATTGTGGCAATTCTATCCTCTGAGGGCAGCCATGAAAAGTGGGGAAAAGCTTGCAGCAAGAGCCTCATAGCCTCCTAAGCAGCCATGCCCTGAGACGTCTGTGTCTTTTTTTTTCCGTCCCCCCGCCAAGATGGAGTTTCACTCTTTCGCCAGGCTGGAGTGCAGTGGCACAATCTCAGCTCACTGCAACCTCTGTCCCCCTGGTTCAAACGATTCTCCTGTCTCAGCCTCCAGAGTAGCTGGGATTACAGGTGCCCACTACCACACCTGGCTAATTTTTGTATTTTTAGTAGAGACGGGGTTTCACCATGTTGGCCAGGCTTGTCTCGCACTCCTGACCTCAGGTGATCCACCCGCCTCGGCCTCCCAAAGTGCTAGGATTACAGGCGTGTGCCTGGCCGGGGTGTGTCATTTTCACTTTTCCCCATCCCACAGGGTTTTACGGAGTGTCACAGCCGTGGTCTGTGCCCTGAGGTAAGAAGTAAATGGGTCAGATAACAAGGCATGAAAATGAAGCCAAAATGAAGCAGGTATTTCACAGAGGCTCATCTTAGGGTTTTCCATCAGGAATCCAAAGTGTTGCTGCTACTGCAGACATCTGGTGTTGCTTGGCTGTGGCCACAGGGAGATGCGATGTGTCAGCCAGGAAATCTCAGAGGTGCCTGTGAGCAGGAGGGAGGCCACTCAGAAGCGGTGTCCATGGGGCTGTGAAAGGGCAGGAAGAGAACGAGGAAGCAAGGAAGCAGGCAGAAGGTGCTTTCTTTCCCTTCCCTGGCTCCTCATCACCTGCCCGGGGGCCCAACCAGCTCCGGTATCAGCGAATAGCCACCCTCAAATGGCTTCATCTCACCCTCCATCCCCAACTGTGGGATCTCCCTAGACATGAAGCAGAGACTCTAGCAAAAGGATGGTAGTGCTCTGCGGCAAACACAGCCATTCCAAATGGCATTCATGAGACAATTCCTTCATTCTCTGCTCTGTGCTTGGTGCTTTGGAAAGAAGCAAAAGACATTGGAACTACAAGCTGCTCACAATAAAGAGCTGTATTTGCACAGCCAGCCCTGTAGAGGGGCTTCCCCAGGTCTAAGCCACCTAGGACCACAGATGCCACTATGGCTCTTCTGTAAGCACATCACTGGTCACTGATGTCCAGAGGAATGACTGGAGTGACAGGAAGGTAGGGGACCTGGGGGTGTGGTATGGACCCCAGTCAATGTGGAGGGGCACTCTGGAGGCTGGGTCAGGTTACCCAACCAGAGAGAAAATACCAGATCAGGATGGCAGATTCAGCAAGGGAAAGGCTGTGGCCAGAACCTAGGTGTGCCCATGGAGAGTAGCAAAGGCTATGCCATCAGCACACGCTGTCAGGTCTGGGCAGACAGGGATGCTCCCTGACCAAGTTCAGGCTGCAGGTGTGGTTAGGACGATAAGGAGAGGCAGCTCACTTAAGGGGGCTCCTGAGCATGAAGCCTCCTTCTTTCCCTCCCCTTTTCCTCCCTCCCTCCCTCCCTCCCTCTCTCCCTCCCTCTCTCCTCCTTCCTTCCTTTCTTCCCTTGACTTAGCAACTTTACATGGGATTATTTCCAAATAGCAGGGGTTCTTGGGACTTTTACTACTCTAATGTGCATTGTGAGTCTAAAAACTACCTGACTGTTCTTGCTCACCCATATTTCTTGGTTCTCACAAACACATTTCTTCCTAGGGAGCAGAGCAGCTGTATAGTCCAAGATTAGCTAGTCTCTGGTTAGAAAACATCTCTCCAGCATCAGGTGAACTTTGGGTACACACCCCCTTGCGCAATTAGGGTGACTCCCTAGCCTTATCAGCTGCATGGTGGCGGCCATCTCTTGGGTGGACTGTTTCTTCAGAAGGGTCACATGCTTCATCCAACTCTCTTGAGTATTGTTCCAGAGCTCAGGGACACATGATTTGATCTTTCCCTCATGCAGGCCACAGACCTCACTTAGCCTATAGGCCCTCTAAAGGCATTGCCCCCGACAGGTAAACAGTCAGGCAGAGACCTCGTGAACACTGGTCTCTGGACCAAAGATTGCCCAGAGCTTTTGCCTTACCAGGGTGGAAACTTCCCTCTTCTCACTTCAGCCTGGGACATTCAGCCGATTTGAGTTCTCACGAGACGCTAGTGCCTAGGCACGAGATCTGAATGATACCTTTCTAGACAACAGGCACCTAACAACCTAACAACAGTCTCCCTAATCCCACCAACCACCCTCCCTGTGATGCTGGCCAGAACATTTTAAACACCAGCATGAGCCCTCCCTGCAGGTAAAAATCATGTCTAATCTCACCATCACCTCCCCAGCCCCCAGATACCCTTTGCTCTCCTCTACCTCTCCTGCTGCCCATGACGCACCGCCAGTCCCTGAGGACTCCATGCTTGTAAATAGCATGCCTCTCCTGGAAAATCATTACTCACTCTCTTAGAGCTGGAGAAAATGTCACTGCTCTGTGTACCTTCTCCTCTAGGCAGTTTGCTACTCTGGTCTCTGAAGCCTGTTGCTCCACCTTGTGTAATAGGGTTACTGCCCTTTGGCTGTTGACACTTGTGTCTCTCCCACCTCTGCTAGAGCAGCTTGAAGTCAGGGGTGGGACGCAGTGTCTGGCAGGTGCTTCCTACAGATCTATTGATGAAGACCGGACAGACACAAGAAGCTCTAGTTCGGGAAGAAGAATAATGCACTGTGTACCTATTGCAAGCCAGACACTGTTCTAAGTTCATTTAATACTCACAACAACCCTGTGAGGCAAGTGCTATTGCCACCCTCAGTTTACAGCTAAGGAAACTGAAGAACAGAGTGGTTAAGTAACTTACACGAGGCCTCTCAGCTACGAAATAGTAAAGCCAGGATGGATTTGAATCTGGAGCCTCTGCTCTTAACCAGTATACCTATTGCCTTTCAAACTAACAGAAATGAGACCAAGAGCTAAATTTCAAGGTTAGAGGCATCAGCATCAAACAGACTGGATGCAAACATTGGCTCTGACCTTGACCTTACTCAACTAAGCTGAGCCTCAATTTTTTCAAATGTGAAATGGACATTATAATAATATTTGCCTCATCTTTCATATGGTTGATTTTAAAACTCTATGGATCTGTTGTAATCATAACGGCAAGGCCTGTGTGCCGTGACCTTGTGAATCTTTCAGATTTGAACTGCTGCTGCCAACCCTAATCTCAACCCTGTGAGAAATGACATTCACAGAGGATTGCCTGGAGTGTATTTAATGTATCTCTTCCTATAGATTTTTGACGGAACCAGACCATCAACGCCTGTGCTCTTGGAACTCTGACCTTCCCTGCAAGTATCACATTTGCTTTCATTGCCCTTGGGTATTGGGCCCTCGCTGTATGCTTGAGCTGATTGGGTTTATGGTGGGCATGTTGGGGTGGATGTGACTTAGTTTCCTTTACACAGGATCATGGGGGTGAAAGAGCACTGGAATTGTCTTCATCCCTAGAAAAATGACATAATAAAGGGAAATTGTATTATTTTAATTGCTGGGAGTAGAAATTTTCTTAGGCAGCAAATGGCTTTTGTTTGGGAAAACATTTCCATAAGCTGTGAGTGGTGGGAGTAGGAGCCCAAAGCACTGGATGTTTCTACAAGTAACTCAAGGTAAGAGATAGTCTATTCTACCTGAGACAAAGAGGGGAATTTGGCCTCTAAGAGGCTGGAGAGAAAATTCAGAGAAGCCAGGAAAGGAAGGGAAGAGAAGCCTATAAGATAGTGTGTGAAGTGAGGGCCAGTGGCAGAGGGTTAAGGGCCGTGTCCTCCATCTCCCTGACCTTGACTTTCTGTGAACATGTTCACTATTTTGTGTGAGTAGAGTCTTTTGTAGAAGTCAAAGAAAAGGCTAAGCTTCACATCTGCAAGCCATGTGGTGTGGAAAGAGGTAGCCTTTGTAAGATCAAGAGCTCAGAGAAACTTGGCCTCCAGGGAAACAGAAGAAAACTTAAGTCATGCTCTGCACTTCCCCTGGGCCTGGAGATCCCAGCCAGCATCTGGCTTACATGACTGATTATGTTTTCTTACTGGCTTTTGTCACTGGAAACTCACTGGGTCATTGTGTATATTGGGGTCCCTTATAATAAATGTTCAGGAACTTATTGGCTTTCATCGTTGGGAAACTTAGGGTATATCGGGGGTCCCTTATAATAAATGTTCAGGAACTTATGCAGAGTTGCTTCCCGCATCTTATCCTACTATTTGGCCTTCATTTCTCTTGCTTGTCCAGAATGAACCTTGTTTTCGTCTGCCTGGCATCCCTTCCTGTGACACATATTGTCCCACTCCATATGGTCCCTACAGAGCTGCCAATCAGAGTGCCCGGCCCCACCTCCATCACAGGTGTGGGTACCTGACTGCTGGCAAAAATGCCCCACTCGCCTGGCCACAAGGGTGGCCACAGAACTCAAGGTGGGTCAATCAGAGAATCGCCTAAGGTTGATATGGGGAGAGAATGTTCTCTCAGCTGCTTGCAAATTTGAATGAGTATGAATTTGAGGAGCTCCCTTGTCCATCATATGAACACAGCTTCATTTAGCCTGATGCCAAGCGGAGGCAAGCAGATCTGAGAGACGGAAGAAAAGACAGAGCAATGACAGTATCATTTGGGCCCCAAGATCTAGCTATACCTTCAGCTGGAGCCATCCCTGGATCTACCTGTAAATTGAGCTAATAAATTCTCTCTTTTTTCGTCATGCACTGGGATACAGGCTGGAGGCAGAGGTCAGATTAGCTTTGTTCCCCATTTCAAGTCCAGAGGAAGCCCTCAATTTGGGCATAAGGTCAAAGGGGCTGTGCTTATTTTTAAGTGTCAGAAACGACAAGGGAAAATTCAGTTCAAGGACCATAACCAGGAATAAATTTCTGAAGTTAGTTAGTAGTTAACAAAAGATCAAATGGAACAACTTCCCGGTAGGATTGTGGGGAAATAAAATTTCCAGAGAACTCCAAACTTGGCAAATGGTGATCTGTGATTGCTCAAATGCAAGGACAAGTTCCAGGCCCTGCAATTATGATGAGAGGAGGCCCCCAGTGGGAAGTCTTTCCCTGTGCCCTTCTCAGAAGTGGCCATCGAAAACCCTAGACAGGGAGTGTCCTTGAAATAGGAAGGGAGTTGGGGTCACTTGGGTTGGCTGACCAAGGAAGTGAGTGCCCTGCCTGGGGCTGTCGCAGTTCCTTCCCTGTAAAGCATGCAGTATACAAATGGGAGATTTTATTGCAGTGTTTGTTTTCCCGTTATCATTGGGGCCTCCCTATGTTGGGCATGGTGGTGATGGTGGTTAAACTTCTTTTAAAGCTATAGTCTACCAAATCCACAGAAGGTTGTTTCAAAACCTAATGAAGAAGGAAAATATATCACCCAGAAGCTCTGGGCCTGGGACTGGATCTGGCAACTAGATATTAATTGGTTTTTAAGTTTTTGTTTATATAATCATTGTATTATGCTAGGTGGGGGCATTCAGAGAATTGCATTTATGGAAGAAGGGTGATTTTCTTGCTCTAGCTTTCCTCCCAGAAGGGACCTCTTCCCTGGCCCCATGTAGTTTTGGGGTTTCTAGGAGTCCAAATACCCCCAACCCTATTCCATCTCCACAGAAGTGGGACCTAGCCCACAATAGCCAGACAGAGGACTCCGTCTTTCTATCCACTGTGATTTGTTCAGTTGTGGGCATGTGACCTAAACACAGTCAATCAGGATTGACAACAAGCACTAAGGCCTTCTTTACCCAAAACATGCTAAAGAAGTCAATGCAACTTCAAGCTCAACATTCCGTTCTCTTTTCTTAAAGGTTCTTCCTTCATCCCAACATTGAGATTTTCCACTGTTTTACCTCATGAAAGTTTAGAGCCTCAGATCATCAGTTTTCCTTTGACCTATGGCATGAATTATTTAGACAATATGTTTTAATTTTCAAACCTATAGATTTTTTGTTTTTACTGATTAACTTTATTATTCTATTTAGAGAAAGTGATTTATATAAATGCCAATTCTTTGAACTTTATTTAGGCTTGCTTTCTGTACTAGCATGTGTCAGTTGTTATAAAACATATCTTGGGTGCTTGAAAATAATGTTTTCCTAAATTAATTGGTGAAAAGTTCTATGGAAGTCACTAATTATTGTGATGTTCAAATCACTAATATTTTTATGAATTTTTTTGTTTTCTATCTACTTGGTCTGTAAATCTCCCATTATAATGATGGATAAGTCAATTTCTCCATGTTATTCTAATTTTTGCTATCTTTTGAAGGCGTGTTAGTAGGTATTTGCAAGTCTGGAATTGTTAAATCTTCCTGTGAAATTAATTTTGTAGCAATATGTGTAACTCTCTTTATGATTAGTATAATTTTTAAACTTAAAGCCTATTTCATCTGTTATCAGTCTGGCTGCACCAGCTTTCTTTCAATAAAATTTGCTTAGGGTATCATTTTTTCATGATTTTATTTTCAACTTTTCAATGTTCTTATGTTTCATCTTTGTGTCATATAGGCAATATGTAGTTGAGGTGGTTTTTTTTAATCCAATCTGGTAATCTGTCTTTTAACTGGAGATTTTGGTCCACTTACATTTATTACAGATGTTCAAAGTTAATGTCTTAATTTGGATTGCCTCAAAAGCAGACCCTGAGGTGAGAATTTGAACGAAAAGGTTTATTTGAGAGGTAGCTTGAGAGAACCCTGATAAGGGAGTAGGGAGGTGAGACAGGGAAGGGAAGGAAGCCGATAAAGTATGTCTCATTTGGTTACCAATGTGGCCAACTAGGGCTAAATCCCAATAGGTAACTCTAGGAAACAGTGCAGAACAAACCAAGGAATGAGGGTGAGGGAGCTGGATTAATTCCAACCCATTATCAGTTGAGGCCTGCTTCTGGGTACATTAATTCCTCAGCACTTCCAGCTTATCCTGCACACATGCAGGGGAGACACAGTGGTCACAGGGAGCCCTCATGCAAAGAGCCCCAAATACTGCCAGTTAAAAGTTAGGAGAGAGGCCAGAAATGCTAAAATCCAAGGCTGTATGGGCAGGGCACTGATAGCATCTGCTAGCAGTTAATATCTTTACTCTCCTGCAAAATACAAAAAACTTAACTCAAACTACCATCATCCAATTTATATGGCATTGTGTAGAATTTTAGTTCTTTTTAAGCACACAAATCATTATTTTATATAGTCAGTGTTTGCTTAATTTCACCAGACGTCCACATTTTTTTCTTGCTCACTTTTTCTTTGTACATCTTAGATGGCTTTTCTGGAATCCGTTTTATTCTTCCTGAAATAAATCCTTTGGAGTTCTACAGTAGGAGTATGTTGGACTTACCAGTCTTGCCTGAAAATGTCTTTATTTTATTCTTTGTTCTTGAATGAGAATTTCCTGGATTAAAAATTCTACACTGACAGTTATTTTCTCTATTTTGAAGACATCATTAAGTTGTTTTTTGGCTTCTGTTTCATTGATAAGTCAACTACCAGTTTGTCATTCTTTGATAGGTAATTTGTCTTTTCTGTCTGCCTGCCCTTAAGATCTCTGTCTCGAGTGTTCTACAATTTTGCCATGAGTGTTTAGTTATAAATTTCCTTTTTTTTAATTTTAATTTTTTTTTTTTTTTTTGAGACAGACTCTTGCTCTGTCTCCCAGGCTGGAGCACAGTGGCACAATCTCAGCTCATTGTAACCTCTGCCTCCCCTCCCGGGTTCAAGCGATTCTCGTGCCTCAGCCTCCTGAGTGGCTGAGATTACAGGCATCTGCCACCACATCCAGCTAATTTTTTGTATTTTTAGTAGAGACAAGGTTTCACCATGTTGGCCAGGCTGGTCTCAAACTCCTGGCCTCAAGTGATCCACCCACCTTGACCTCACAAAGTGCTAGGATTATAGGTGTTAGCCGCTTCACTCGGCCTTTCTTTTATTTTTATTGCATTGAATTTGTTGGGCTTTCTGAATCTGTTGATTTATGTCTATACCATTTAGAACTAAGTTAAACACATGTGACAGAAAACTCAAAATAATGGTGGTTTGTAAAGGACAGAAGATTATTTCTTTCTTGCATGCAAGTAGTCAGATGTTGGACAATCCTGGGTTGTTAAGAGTCTTCTAGCTCACTGTTCCACTGCCCTATAATGGCTTCCTTTCTCAGGGTCTAAGTTGGCTTCTGGAGCTCCCACCCTCATACCTGTGTCCCAGCCAGCAGGATGGCACAAGAGAAGGAGGGCTTGCCCCTTTTTCTCTGAAGAGACTTCCCAGAAGTCTTAAAGACTTTTACTTATACTTCAATGCCAGAATGCAGTCACATGACCACGCCTAGCTAAAAGGGAGGCTAGAAATAATAGAACTTTAGTAGGTTGCATTGCTACTCTACTTTGGACATTTGATCCTGCAAACCTCATGTTGAAACTTGGTCCCCAGTGCTGGAGGTGGGGCCTAATGGAAGATGTTTGGGTCACAGGGGCAGATCCTCTATGAATAGCTTGGTGTCATCTTCATGGTAATGAGTGAGTTCTGGCTGTATTAATTCCTGCAAAAGCTGATTGTTGAAAAGAGCCTGGCACCTTTCCCATTTCTCTCTTGCCATCTGATCTCTGCACAGGCCAGCTTTACTCTGACTTCCACCGTGAATGGAAGTAGCCTGAAACCCTCACCAGAAGCAGATACTGTCACCATGCTTCTTGTACAGCCTGCAGAACCATGAGTCAAATAAACCTCTTTTCTTAATAAATTGACCATCCTCAGGTATTCCTTTATAGCAACACAAATGAACTGAGACAATTACCATTCCAAATAAATTTGTCATTCTGACATCTGAAGAGGAGGATGAGTGCTATTAGAATAGGAAACTACCAATCTTTACCACAGTCTGCCTTTTGGCTATCAGACATTCATTTTACACTCCATTCCCACATTTGGAACATGTTCAACCTCCAAAAGAGAAACCTTGAAATTCTCATCCAGTTACTACATCTAGGTCAAAGTTCAGTATCTTTGGGTGACACAGAGGTCTTCCCATCAGGTCTAGATGTAGCTCTTTATGTTCTAGTGACTTATAAAACAAAAGACAATCCGTCTAATAAACAATGACTGAATAGGTTAACACAATTATAGCTCTTGTTCAGCAAAGGGGAAAATGAGAAGCATGCAGTCATCACTAGTCCATAGTGATCACCAAGTCCAGTTGGGGAGGAGGAGTGGAGGCTTCCAGCCCTAGCAGTGGGGTAAGCTGCCTGGTTAGTACATCTGGCAGCCCCAGGTTCTTCCATTTGGGAGGAACATCCTAATCTATTGTCCTTTGTGACCATCACTTTGCCTTCTCTGAGTCTCCTCCCCATCCCTTGTCCCCCATGGTCACATCTGAGTGGGCATAAAAATTATGCTTCTTGGAGCTGCATAGCGTTTACACTCTGTTTCCTGCTGATGCTGATTTAGATCCTGGGGTGTGCTTTAGGGAGTTTAACTGTCACAGATCCAATATTCCATTGTGTTAATATTACCACAAAGCATTTATCCATCCCACTGTTTGATGAGTGTTTTGGGGTAGTTACCAGTTTGGGGTTAGTACAAATAGTGCTGCTATGAATATTTTCAGGTTTGTCTTTTGATGAATTTACATTTCTGTTGAGTATTGTTCCAGCTACCTATTACTGCATGACAAAGTGTCCCAAATGTAATAGTGTCAAACAACACTCATTTTTATTATACCCATGGGCTCTGTGGGTGAGGAACTTGAATGGGGGCATGGAAGGTATGGTTCGCTCTGCTCCACCTTGCATGGGGTGTCAGTTAGGAAACCCAGATGGCTGGGGGTGATTTGAATGCCAGGGCAGGAGTCATGTGGAGACTTCTTGCTCACAAATCTGGTGTCTGAGCTGGAATAAGTTGAAACCTGCTCTTACCTGGGACTAAACCTCAGGATCCCTCTCCATAGTCTGCCCCTGTGACTTAGGCTTCCTCACAGTAGGAAGGTCTTGATATGGTCAAACTCCCTGCCTGGAGGCTCAGGAATCTAAGAGTAATCATTCTAGAAAGGAAAATTGAAGCTGGAAGGCATCTTATGATCTTTTTCTCTCTGCAGAGTCTCATTGTGTCACAAACACCACATTCTATTGGTTGAACTGTCACGCTCTTCATAATTCAAAGGCATTTGATGTAGATTCTGCCTCTTGAGGAAAGGTGTGTCAAAGAATTAGACGCATCCCCAGGAGTGGAATTTCTGGGCCACAGGGTATGCATATACTCAGTGTTGGTGCTGCCAATCAATTTGACAAAGGAATTACATTGGCATAACCCCCATGAGCAGTGTATGAGAGCTCTGCTTGGTCCTGCCTTTTTCATTTTAGCTATTCTGGTGAGTGTGAAGTAGCAGCACATTGTGACCTTAATTTGCATTTCCTTTGGATTTTCCTGATGCCTAATAATACAAGCTGTAGTGGGCTGAGTGGTGTCCCCCCAAAATATTAGATGCTTTAATTCCTGAAAGCTATGAATGTTGCTTTACATGGAAAAGTTTTTGCAAATGTCATTAAGTTAAGCATTTTGAGATAAGTAGATTATTCTCGATTATCTGGTGGGGACTAAAAACCATTACAAATTGACGTGGTTTTGCTGTGTCCCCATCCAAATCTCATCTTGAATTGTAACTCCCATAATCCCCATATGCCAGGGGAGGAATCCAGTGGGAAGTAATTGAATCATGGGGGCAGATCTTTCCCATGCTGTTCTCCTGGTAGCGAATAAGTCTCACAAGATCTGATGGTTTTATAAAGGGGAGTTCCCTTGCACATGTGCTCTTGCCTACCACCATGTAAGATGTGCCTTTCTCCTCCTTTGCCTTCTGCCATGATTGTGAGGCCTCCCCAGCCATGTGGAACTGTGAGTACATTAAATCTCTTTTCTTTATAAATTACCCAGTCTTGAGTATGTCTTTATTAGCAGTATGAGAACAGACTAATACAGTAAATTGATACTGGTAGAGTGGGGTGCTGCTGTTAAGATACCCAAAAATGTGGAAACGACTTTGCAACTGGTTAACAGACAGAGGTTAGAACAGTTTGGAGCGCTCAGAAAAATACAGGAAGATGTGGGAAACTTTGGAACTTCCTAGAGACCTGTTGAATGGCTTTGCCCAAAATGCTGATAGTGATATGAACAATAAGGTCCAGAACGAGGTGGTCTCAAATGGAGATGAGAAACTTGTTGGGAACTGGAGTAAAAGTCAGTCTTGATATGCAAGATGACTGGTGGCATTTTACCCCTGCCCTAGAGATCTGTGGAACTTTGAACTTGAGAGAGATGATTTAGGATATTTGGCAAAAGAAATATCTAAGCAGCAAAGCATTCAATAGGAAGCAGAGCATAAAAGTTTGGAAAATTTTCAGCCTGGCAGTGCAATAGAAAGGAAAAATCTATTTTCTGGGGAGAAAT